CTGATCAGTAATAGTTAATGCACACTTCTTATTAATATTGATCAGTGACTTCTTCAGAAGTGATCTCAGAAACTCAGAAGCCTGTTTAAATTATGAAGACTCTTGCTTATATATAGATATTTAAGTCTACTCAATTCATAGCATCTGCATTATTGTTGTTATTTCTTGACACAGGTGTATAAGTGGCTGAGTTATTCCTCAGTATGAGTGTGTGAGTGTATTATCTTCTGCTACTATTCTGTATACTCTTGAGCTTGATAAGATGATTGTTCAATGTCTGAAGCTGTGTGCAGAAGTCTTTATAAGTTGAGTCTTCATTTACACTTATAAGAGTCTGTAAGAGTTTAAAAGTTAATGTCTTCTTAAGCATACTAATCTTCATTCAATTCTCTCAAGATTGATCACCTGCTTCTAAGATCTTGATATTAAAGTCAGGAATAAATCTTATAAGAGAAGTGTTTCTCTGTCAGATACTCTATAATCAATCTAACACTTTCTGTTACATAGCAGTGTCTCAGAACAGAATATCAAGATGTTTGATAATATTATCAGATATTCATACCACTGGTTCACATGCTTTCATTTATAAATGAAACTTTTGTTTTATGTGATTCTTCAATTGTTCATTGATATATCAATCTTGATTAGTTAGTGAACTGATGATATCTTCATTCATACTCAGTTTTGTAAGCATTTTCATTCTTCATAATGAGTAGAGAGTGAGATTGAATGTATTGAAATATACAGAAGTATCTAAGCATTCTTTCAGTGCTTTTATATTCAATTCTGTAAATGTTGAAATTGCATGAGTTTCTTGTTGAATTAATTATTGAATTTTCTTATATTAAAGTTATTAAGTTGCATGTATATCAGCTATCTGTTGCTGTTGTAATTTCAAACATTACTCAGAGTTACTGTGATATTACTTCTATACTTGTATTCAAGAGTTCTTTTATATTATCATTAGACATGATTATATTGTTTATTGAATATGTAATATCTGTGATATTTAAACAAGTGTAATTGTATGAATATCTTATATGTCTGAGATGTCAGAACTCTCAGATCTTTCACTGACATTCTCTTGTAAAATCTTATTGCAGAGTCAGAGTGACTGATAAGCAAGCTTCTATCTAAGAACTTGATATCTGCTTTAACTGATTATTGCTCTTTTTTACATATTATTATATATTCAGATATCTTCTTGATAAATAATCATTTCTAATAAGAAGATAATATATGAATAATTATTTCTAATAAGAAGATGATGAATGTTTTTCAAGTGTAAGAGGTCTACACTGAATAGATCAGTATGATATATAGATCTTATATAATAAAGTGAAAAATGTTAAAGAAGAAAAAGAAAGAGAAAGTGCAAGAATCAGTGATCAGAGTGAATATTTATATGTGTATGCAGTGTGTACACAGTGAAGCTTCAGAGCAGAAGAATAGAAATTCTGTGAGTTTTTTGACTGAGAATCAGTGATCAAGAATGACTGAGAATCGGAGCTTTCAGCGGAATCTATGAAGTGTAAAGAAATAGTCTGTATGATGATCGGGCGCAGCCCGTCACAAGATTAGTTTCAATGAGCTGTTTACTATAGTAGTCTGAGCAGGTGAAGAGAGACAGTATAATACATGAGACAGTATAATACATGAGACAGAATTATAAAAGATGAAATCTGTTAAATCTAGTCACTGAATGCTGTACTATATAGAGATTATGTAAGAGTAGTGACTAGTAAATAAAGGAAAAAGTGTAAGAAAAGAAAAGAAATAATGAATTGATTATTAACTATAAGAGTTAGCTGTAAAAGACAAAATATTATTATACATTTTCATATATGACATGTTTAATCTATTTTCAACATTACATTACCTGAAAACAAAAACATCAAAAACAAAGAAAATCTTAAAACTTGAGATTTACAAGAGATTTGAGAGCTGTATGCTGCTCTTACAATAACACTGTGCATGTCTCTGATTTCTCTATCACTCTGTATACAACATTAACATTATTTGTCACAAGATTGGCTGAAATGCCAATATAGAAATGTGTACACATGTGTGTAGAAAAATTGAAGAAGAGCGCGGGACCCGCAGGATCAGAAGCCAGGGCAGAGAGGACAGAGGCAGAAGAAACAGAAGAAGGCGCAGAATCAGATAAATGATGATGAGAGTCATCTGAGACTGAACACTTATAACCTGATGTGCACACAATCTTTCTCATAGAGAAGGAAGAGAAAGCACTGAAAGAGGCTTGAGAGAAAGTAGTCTCAGTAGTGTTATCATCTTCAATTACAATGACCTCTGATGCTGAAGCAACTAAGAACTATTGTTAGTATATGAAACTGCAAAAACAGGGATAACAATTACTGAATAAACACTCACTGGTCTTAGAATTGTATGTGTAATTACAACATGCATGAGGCTTCTCAGGAAGAGAGAGAGAGACACAGGGAAATGCAGGGAGAAGAATGCAACATATGAACAGCTCATTTTCATAATAACATTTCAGACAAGATATACAAGTCTCACATCTGCAGATGTAAAAGAGTATAATATCTGCATTTCTATTTCTGAAAATATGAATATCCTTTATCTGCATCACAAAGTCAGATAACAGATATTAAAGAATAGACTGATATAAATCTATTATTCTGAAGAAATTTATCAGAGCAGATGTTCTCATAATATTAAACTTTACAGTTATAAAAAGTTTCTTAATATCTGTGAATATCATGACTTTGTGAATAATAAAACTCATAACAATTTCTTCTAAGAACAGGAAAATCAGCATCAGAAAGAGAAGATAAAAAAAAAAAAAAAAAAAAAAAAGACTTATAATCTTGATACTGTTAAGAAGAGAGGTGATTCTCTGATATGAATAAATAATTACTTTATCATAAATACTTAAAATGAATATAATAATCAGTGTTCATAACTGAGCTTCAAATGATTATATTATACACAGTCTTTATGTAATAAATTATTCTAGAGGTTAGTAAGAAGGGCAGAAGTGTACATACTGAGAAACATGATTCACTAAGTCTATACAACATCTTCTTGAAACAGGAAGAGCTGATACTAAAGGCAGTAGCAGAAGTAGAGATTGCAGGAACAGAGATAGCAGAAGAAGGAGAATCAGACACAGAGACAAGTGTAGAAGATTGAGAGAGAGTAACAGAGAAAGAAACAGAGAAGAGAGTAACAGAGAAAGAAGCAGCAGAAGAGACAGAGAGAGATATGAAAGACTTAATTATATATAACACAGATAATTTCTTCATTATTATATTTCTCAAGTTCTCAACTGATAATTCAACATTGAGATTATAATCATCAGCAGACACAGATCTGTCAATATATAAAGAGTCTACACAAATCAAAACAAATATATCAGCATCTGCATTCATGTAAAACATGATTAGAAAACATGATCAAGAAATATGATCAGATATCTGCTAAGAAAAGAAGATTATTATTATTATTATTCTTCAATTATAGATGTATATAGTCAGAGACTATGACATCTATCTGAGAACTTTTAGTTCTCAGGGTTTTTCCTATATCTGTCAAGTTAACTATTATACATTCATCAATTTCAGATATGTAAAATCAGAAAATTTCAGCTCAGAATATAATAACTGTTTACAAATTGCAGTATTTTAACATCTTCTAATACTTTGAAATCATTTGACAATATCATGATAAAAGAAAAGAGAACACAGTCTTAAAGATAGACAGAAAAGAAGGTTGAGAGTGTATAAGAAGATGAAGAAGATATGTCATTCATAATAGTACATTCTGACAATTATTAAAAGATAAATAAGTCCTGGTCATGTTTTACAACATATTATACTTACTGCTAACAAACTGTCTGATATGAGTACTATAATAATACTTGTTATAAGAATGAGAAATCATTATCAGAAACATGTACAATGTAATAGATAAACAGATAGAAGATATTGAACAGAAGAAGAGACAGAAATCTTGAAGAAGATAATAATATTCAATAATAATAATGATAAAGAAGATGATTGAAGAATGAGAAAAGTTAGTGAATAAGTGATATAATATAGTGAAAGTTTCTTTGTGAGAATGTACACAGAACACTAGCTGAATCAGAGATAGGTCACATAATTGCAAACACTAGTGATATGCTAATCTGCATGAAGCTAGAATGTATATCATAATCACATGAGCATGACTGAATCTGATGAGAGAGAATGTGGCTCAGAAGAACATACAACTGTTGAATAATAACACAGCCGCTTCCGAACTTGCTTACAAATGTCAAGAGGTCATAGCGGCCACCAATTAATTTTCTTAAAGAATAATGTTATTGTGTTGTAATCTAACTACGCGAGTTACACTAAATAGATTGTGTGAGAGAGGTTGAACGTGGTTAGTTGTTGTTATCTAACTAGTAGCTAGTGGAAGCTAAATATATGTGTGTGGGTCACGTGGGTTAGGGCTTGTGTAGTAGCTCCAACACCCCCCCATGCTACGCAGGCCAGTTAATCCACGCAGTCAAAAGCGCCCAAATCATTCAAATCTGCAATAAAAATTAATTACAAAAAGTAGAGTCTAGTTTCCTCATAAGGACTAGCTCCATACATGAAAAACATAAAAAACATGCAAGAAGAACGCTCAAATCCATTCTTTCAGTATTGGTATTACCCCCAGTTGTTCTAACACCGCGGGATCTCATTCTTATTATTTTTGTGGTTTTCATCGTCATAGGCATAGGCATAGGTCATCGGCATAGGTCATCGGCATAGGTCATCGGCATAGGTCATCATATGGGCAATCGGTGGCCCGGCATCATATAGGCACTGGGGCCTGGCATCGTAGGCACTGTGGCCTGGCATCATATAGGCACTGGGGCCTGGCATCGTAGGCACTGGGGCCTGGCATCATATAGGCACTGGGGCCTGGCATCGTTACCGGTATTTCCATCGTTTTGGCGTCGATATTGGCGGTCATCATGAGCATCATTAGAAGACTTGCTCAGTATTGTAGCATACAGGTGTAGTGGCATCATCATCATTGACCTTCTTTCTATTCTTCCAATCTGCAGGTCGTTTCTCTGGGTGTTCAAACCAGCAGCTTGGTTCATCATGGCCTTCCATCTTGCAGGCAGTGCATTTCTTCTTGGTGTTCTTATTATCCTTCACATCCTTGGTGGCATCTTTGTTATTCTTTGTGTCATTTCTGGCATTTTTATCATCCAACGGCAGGCGGAGTAGTATATCCCTGCAGAGATCAAGGAAATCATCTTCTAGTGATGTGACATTATCATCCTTTGCTGCATAGTCCATGCGATCTCTGATAAAGGTTGACCACTTCTTGGTGAGGCCGTTGAGGAGCTTGTCGAAGAATATGAAGTTGGGGATATTAGCATATCCAAGGCAGATATACTCAACGCGGATTGCAAGCAGGCGTTCTATGAACAAGCAGTTGGAGCCATCATAGGTGGCAGTTGCACTGATATCATTGAATTCCTTGGACAGGCGGGCTCTGCGGATTTCCACCTGTTCTGAAAAGGATGCTGCTATGGCGTTCCATAGAGCAGCAGAACTTAGGAAATCTTGAGGTATAGTAAAAAGAGATTTGGCTTCAATAGAAACAGAAGACCATACAAAATTGTATAGCCAGGAGTTGCGTTCCTCCCAGAATCATTTCATATTCTTAGAGGCATTCTCCAAGGGCTTGCTAGTGAGGATATCTTCTGTATGAGATTGCTTGACAACAAGCAGGATCTCTTCCTTCCAAATGGGGTAATCAGATGTTGATTTGAGAAGACCTGGTTTTTGAAGGTATTTGACGCGTTCACGGAATTCTTGGAGGACTCTGCTCAGTGCAGGGGTATCCCCTTGATTCTGAAGGTAAGCAGCAAGATCAGAGCTTAGATCATTGTCATCATTGACAGTAGCTGTAGCAGTAGGATTGCTAGAAGCTCTCATCTGGCGTAGTTCTTCATCCATCTGGGCAATATGTCGCCTCAAGGCAGCAGCTTCATCAGCCATATTGTCGTTATCTTGATTATTGTTATTGTGTGGTGGTTTTCTCGCGGTTATTGGGGTTGGAAAGGATCCAGGTGCAGTAGTTTGATTCTCTGGAGTCTCTTCGCGGTTGATCGATCTTGTATTGACAGGCATTTGGTATGGGGTATTTGAATGAAAAAAGCAGCTATTTGAAAAGCTTATTGTATGATTATTGCATGGTTATAACACTTCGTAGAAGTGCAAGGGCTTCATAACCTGTGAGAGAGGTTGAACGTGATTAGTTGTTGTTATCTAACTAGTAGCTAGTGGAAGCTAAATATATGTGTGTGGGTCACGTGGGTTAGGGCTTGTGTAGTAGCTCCAACAGATTGAGGTGGCATGTGACTAGAGTAGATGTAGTAATCATCAACACTCTCTCTTACTACATCATGATCTATAATAAGCCGCCACCCGGGGCCTTCTCTATTCTCAAATCTTTCAAAAATGCAATAATAATTAATTATATCAATCAAATTCTGATTTTCTCATTAGAAAAGACATCTGTACAGCAATAACTGTAAAAATCAAGAAATACATGCAAAATTCATTGATCTGCTGTATCATTATTATTATTCAATCATTTCTTCTTCTCAATTTTCTGAATGTCAATTCTTTTGATAAAATCTTCAAATGCAGGCTTCATCAGTGACTTGATAAGACTGTCAGCTATATTCACTGTAGAATTAATATGTTTCATCATGATTTCTTCTTTTTCAATCAAATCACAGAGAATATGATATCTGATCTCAATGTAATATAATCTTTGTATTAAGAATTTCTTCTTTACTAGATCAATTGCTCTCTTATTATCAACTTATAGATATGAGTATATTTTCACTTTTTTATCATTCATCAATTCAGTATTATATAACATATTATTCAATCAGATTATCTCACAAGCTATCTCACTAGCTGTAATATACTCAGCTTCTGTAATTGATTTGATAATAGATGTCTGTCTCTGTGACTGTTATGAGACTGATAACTCATTAATTAATATAATATAGCTAATAGTCAATTTGTATTGAGAATCTGCCCCTGCTTAGTCTGAATTGCAGTATATTACAGAACTCAGATTCTTATCACTGATCTTCTTTCTGTATAATATGTTATAGTTTTTCATCTTCTTGACATAACATAGAACATGCTTCAACACTGTCTAATATGCTTTGTATAAATGTGAGTTAAAATGTAAGAGATAGTTAACTGTGAACATCAGGTCTGATCAGCTGCTTGAGATCAAATACTGCAATAATTTCAATTCTTGATAATATCTCATAGCTGTAAAGTTATCATTCAATTCATCATTCTCATCAGATGAAAATTTCAGTTATATACCTGTCATCATTGAGATCTCTGCAGGATTCATCTTATTCATACTGAAATCTTCAAGAATCTTCTCAATATAACAGCTTTGTGTAACTGCTAGATTGTCATTTCTCTGACATTTAATCTTTATTTCAAGATATAACTTAATCTCTTTAATATTCTTTATCTCAAATCTCTTTGCAATCTCTCTTAATACTCAGTTTAATTGCTATTCTTGAGATCTCATCACCTGACAATTATTGACATGCAATGTCAGATAGATCTTATGAACAGAGTGATATAGAAATTCATTATTATAAGATAATATCTTGAATTTCAATATAGTCAGATACTCTGTTGTAAGAAAATATCATATTCTTACAGCTTGTTTCATTCTATATAGACTCTGATAAAGTAGTCTTATCAAGCTCTCTCTGTTATATTTAACATCTGTGAGCAGTTGTATATAGATTATCTCATTCTGAGATAATATATCATTTAAAAACAGAGATATATAGTCAATTGATTTAATCTTTCATTCTTTAGCAGTTGATATAGTGAATAGACTATATAATATAGACCCTGATATCACTGCAGTATACAATCTTATATAATGAATACTCTGCTGTTGTAAGAACCTTCTAATCACTTAGCAAGCTCTAAAGTAAATAATTTCTCTCTTATTATTGAATTTCTAATCATATACTCATTTATCTGTAAGAATATTCATTTCTGAGATCTTCTTAATAACAATGTATATCTTCTTCTATTTAAATATCTTAATCTTCTTTTTCATTGTCTTATGTTAATAGTCTCAGTCTGAGCTTCTCTTGACTTCTATCAGTGTAGTTGATCAGTCTGTCAGAATACTTAGAATAGAATCATTCTTATTAACAGAGTCTTTAGACTCTTCATTCATGACAAGCTATATCTCATCATCTAGAAGATAGATTGAATTAATTACATTCTCTAAGTTCTCATTGACAATCATCTTTAAAATATCTGATTTATTCTTTGCAAGTCTTCTCAGAAGACAGTATTATCATTTCTCTCTAGTATTCAGAATGTTCAATTTATTAGATAATTCATTGAATTCTCTCATTGTATTTACAGATGTATTTACACTCATATCAGAAGCTTCATTAAATATGACATCTCATATAATCTCAAGACAGTGTGCAACAGAATCTCACACATAATATTAATATAATTCTTGATATTCAATTAACTGTCATTTCTTGCTATCAGTTCTATTCTCAAGCTTATTCAACACTTTTAAATTCTTCTTATAGATCTTGCACCCTCATCTCTGTATTCAATGAACAGAAGATTACACCTCAGTTCAAGCTTTAAAAGATGTAAGTGATATTTCTTCCTTGCATTCAAATATCTTTATTGATATTGAGAATGTGTTGATCATCATGACTGTAGCTTGCATTGTCTCATCTCAGAGCTCTTTCATCAGCTCACTATTAAATAGCAAGCTTCTTATCTTCTCTACAACTATTTGATTCACGCCTTCTGCTGAGTCATTCAATTGTGATATATTAGATATAGTCATTTCATACACTATTTCTTTACTCTGACAGTAGGTCTTAAGTTCTTGACTTTTAAACTTCTCTTCATTATCTCAGTGTAGAGTTTCAATTTGATGTTGAGTAGTGATCTCAATTTCATTAATAAAGGTTATCAAATGTGCAGTGACCTCATTCTTTGATATTATAAGAATAATTCATCTGTAGTGTATAGCATTATCTGTAATACTCATTCAATAATTAACTCCTCTCTGAGTAGAGAGATTGACTTCATTATATAGTGTGCAGCTACTATCTACAAGGTTCATGAAGAATCTCATCACAGATTTGATAGTTCTCATCATTGATATGAATGTTGAACATGTTATTTTTGTCTGTACACAGGTCTTACAGAATGACAAAGCTCTGTCACTCTTTATTCTCATTTCTAGTCATGAATCTGCTGTCATTTTTATGATATTCACAGGATTCAGATGTTCTAGCTTTTGATGTCATTGCATCATTGTAAGTTCTATAATCTTTGTATTATTTCTATTAGATAGTGTCAATATTGTGTCATCTTTCATCTGTAATGTGTTTACAGGTTTAAAATCATCATTGAGCATAGTAAACTGAATCAAGTCTCTGTATATAATCAGCCTTTTCATCTCATAGATATCATTCTCATTTAATCTTACTGTAAATGAGAATATGCAGTTGAGAGACATAATCAATATAGCATGATTATTCTCATATATTAACTGCTTATAGGTATAACTCTAATGTACAAGCTTACTCATACTCATGAGATTCACTTCTAACTTCAGAACATAGCAGACATCATTTAATAGCATATCTGCTTCTTTCACTGAAATCTTTGTATCTTCTATAGCTGTAGTGAGAACTACTGTTCTGTCTGCTATTTTCAACATCACTTTCACCTTCTGAGATTTTGTCATGACAAGATCCCTGTGGAATGTAGTGTGAGTGCTCAATTCAGAGACTAGAATTCAGATATCTTTTCCTGTCTGATCACTTGCATAGGTCTTTTCTTTAATGCAAAATACTTACTTCATAACACTGTGAACAGAAGCAGTGTCTGTATTCTCTGCATTCTTGTCTTTATTCTTGTTTCTATTAGTGTTGAAATTCAAATTCAAAGAATGTTTCTCAGAGTATTTCTTTCAACAGTCAGTCTGAATATGATTAACTTTTTGATAATAGTAGTATGTTCTCATGTCATTATCTCTATATTCAGGTTTGAATTCAGTGTTCTTGTCCTTGTCATTGTCTTTGTCCTTGCCTTTCTTATCCTTGTCTTGGGCATTATTTGCAGGATTTTTCATGGATTCAGTACTACTATTTTCCACAGTAGAAAGGTATAGAAGTATATCACAGTATAATCTCATGAAGTCTTATTCTAAAGATCTTAAATTGTTCTTATCAATCTGGTTCATTCTATTCTTTATGAAGAATGCTCAATCTCTATTGACTTCTGTCAGTAATCTATTGAAAAATACAACATCTTCAATCTTATATCTTAGACAGATATAATCAGTTCTGGTGATAATTAATTATTTAATGAAAGCTCTGTCAGATTCTTTGCTTTTGAAGATTATTTCAATAAGCTTTTTAAATAAACAAGTTCTGTGTATAGCAGATCTCTTGAAAAAGTTATCCTCTATAATAGTTCATAGAGTATAAGCTAGACTAGCCGCCGGGACCATGAATTTCATGTTTGATCTCATTTAGTCTGGTCTCATACATTTCTTAGCGTGAATCCCGCTGGGACTGGCTATCAAAAAAACATGTAAAGTGACTATATATCAGATCTTAAAATGAAACCATGACTTGAAAAAAATGAGAAAGTGATTTCATTTGGTTTCATTTAGTCCCATTCTTGGCATAAAGTTACTATTTTTAAACATTTTAAGATTTTTTTTAGACTATTTTTAATTTTTTAAAAAGTAATGCTTTCTGGTAATGCTCAAATGAGATTTAAAGTCATTTAAAGGAATAAAAATAATTTAAATTGAGAAGTGGAAATCATGGTCTCATTTGAAAAATGTGACAAGAGTAGACAGTAAGTCTCACTGAAACAGTATGAAACTACTATCTAATGTTAAAACTGTGTAATGAGATCAGTCAAATTAGTAATGAAACTATTAAAAAATCTGGTTCTGGTTTCAGACACGGTCACACGGTCAGTCTAGTATAAGCTGATAATTTGAACTTCTTAAGTATAGTGAAATGAGTCTTGATCTGCAGAACAATTGTAGACCACATGTAATTATATAATCAAAGATTATATTCTTTTCAGAAATGTTACATGTTTATAGTAACATTCTCATT